CAGCGAGCCGCGCCATGCCAGGGCCCCGGCGCCGCCGCGCTCTGCCGCGTCCCTGCTCCGGGGCCGCCCGCGGCACCGCGCTCTGCTCGCGGCTCCAGGCCTAACTTCCAGTAACTTCCAGAAATAGCTCAAGCATCCACCCGGCACCAAAGAACGCACGTGCTGGCGTAATACAAGGAATGTGTAAATATTATTCCTACGCTTGGCAAAACAGTCAGGGACTTTAAACTTGTGCAGTTTGCCAGGCAAAGCTGCGGAGTCAGGAAAAAGGGCCCAAATGGAGGGGTTACAAACAACGAAAGAGAGAGGCATTTTAATGGCTCATGCATCCCCCCTCTCATATCTTCCACCAAGAGGAAAATCTTTTCAATTTGTAAACCGAGAAATTTCAGAATATTTCTGCATTTTGAGAGGCTGTGGAGTCTCCTTCTCTGGAGACCTTCCAAATCGCTTGGACGCAGCCCTGTGCCACGTGCTCTAGGTGACCCTGCGTGTGCAGAGGAGCTCTAGAGGTCCCTTCCACCTTCAGCATTCTGCGATTCTGTGATTTTAACAAATCAAACTCGTTAATCTGGTGCGTCAGTGCTGCTGGTTTTGCAGAGCTTAGCATTACTAACACATACTTACACGTATGCATGCACGTACACACATCAACCCGCACGCACGGCTCGTGCGGGACCAGGCGTTTGAACACGACGGGCTGCTCAGCACGACAGGCTGCGCCGGGGCTGCGGGGCGGCCCGAGCGGCGCGGAGCAAACAGCAGCGCTCACACGGCACCAAGGTCACGGGGAGCGAGGGAAAGGAGCAATTCCACCATCGCAATCTGCATTTGGGCACAAAGCCACCAGAGCACCCGCCGAGCGGCAGCTTCCCAACGGCCCCGTGCAGAGGCCCCCCGGACGGGCCCTCCATACTGAGAGCGCGCGCGCAGCAGCACAGCGGGGTTTCCAAATTAAACACGGCAACGCTTAAACAAAAGCGCTGTTCCCACCGGTGCTTTCCGCTTTCCTTCCGCGTTCCCCTCGCTCCATCAGCAACCCCTGCTAGTCCCCAGGAACACGGCGGGTTTCAGCCCCACGGAGAATCGAATGGATTCTCTGTTCCAAACACGTGGTCACACATGGTGCCGCTGACCATCAGAGAGTGACACGGCCTCTCGGAAAATCCCACTGCGCCCCCCTGCGAGAAACAGTAATTCAGTGATTTCTGAGAAATCTGCCCAGTTTATTTTGAGTCAGAGTCGCAAGCTTGCCCTAAGGCCACGGAAAGCCCGGCCCTGCTCTGCCGCACTGAGATAACTCTTCCTCTGCACTGAGATAACTCTTCCTCTGCTTCTAGGAACAAGGATCCTGTAAGATGTTCAACGCGAGCGCAAGCCCATCGGAAAACTGCACTTTCAGGACGGTAATCACCACCACGGTCATTCCACTCATCTACTGCTTCATCTTCATAGCGGGCCTGGGGCTGAACAGCGTGGCAGCGTGGGTCTTCCTGGCCGTGCCGAGCACCAAGAGCTTCATCGTCTATCTCAAAAACATCGTGGTCGCCGACCTCCTCATGAGCCTCACGTTCCCTTTCAAAATCCTGGCCGATTCGGAAATTGCATCCTCGCAGCTCAGCATCTTCGTGTGCCGATACTCTGCGGTTGTGTTTTATATAAACATGTACATTGGAATAACGTTTTTTGGACTCATAGGTTTTGACAGATACTACAAAATTGTAAAGCCTTTGTTTACCTCTGTTGTTCACACAATTAACTACAGTAAGGTTATCTCTGCAATCATATGGCTCTTGCTAATAATTTTATCACTTCCAAATATGATTTTAACTAATGAAATCAATGAAGCAAACTATTCCGGAAACTGTGTAGGTTTCAAAAATGAGCTTGGCATAGAGTGGCATAAGTTTACAAACTATATTTGCATTGGGATTTTCTGGATTGTGTTTCTGCTATTAATCATTTTTTACACCTCGATATCAAGGAAGATATACAGTTCCTACAAAAAGTTCCGCAAGAGCTCGGACGTGACCAAGAGGAAGACCAACCGCAACATCTTCACCATCATGCTGGTGTTCGTGACGTGCTTCGTGCCCTACCACCTGTGCCGAATCCCCTACACGCTGAGCCAGACCAGCGCCCGCTTCGACTGCCCCTCCGCGAGGGCGCTCTTCTACACCAAGGAGTTCACCCTCATCCTGTCCGCCGCCAACGTCTGCCTTGACCCCGTTATTTATTTTTACCTTTGCCTGCCCTTTAGGGAAAAGCTGTACCAAAAGCTGCGCCTCAAGCTGAAAACTTCAGGCGAGGCTGAAATTTCCAAATCCAGAAGGACAAATACAATCCGGGAAAGCACAAACACGCTCTAAGTTCAGGTTTGGAAAACTAACACTTGCATTCGAAAGTCAGTCAAGACTACAACATCACAAAAAGACTAAATAAACGAGAACTGGCAAAAAAAGGTTTGGTGTAAAATACCAAGTGGGGATCTGTGCTTAAAAGCATCACTGCTCACTAGCCTGCACTTACCGGAGGGTACTTGGCGGCACACGGCTGCGTCACGGGTGGAGTGACCTCCCGGGACCTGGAGGGCCGAGCGCCAAGGCCAGGCCGCGGCTCCCGGCCGCCCCGACCCGCTGCCGCCGCCGCTCGTGCTGCCTCCCCACGGCCGCGAGCGGGGGAAGGAGGGCGCCGACCGCAGCTCCCAGGAAAGCCTCACAGATCTGCACGCAGCCTGAACACATTGCTAGCATTTATAAAAATACACTGGTTTGCTGAAGGGAAACACCGTATGTAATTAAGAGGTTAAACAATACGACTCGCTGCAGGCCGCAGACGCCGCAGGCAAAGGCAGAGCTTCCCCACGGAGCGGCGCTCGGCACGGGACGCGCTGGGAACGCGGCCGCGGCGGGACGCAGCGCTGGGAGCCAACGCGCGGCTGGACACTCGGGGCACGTTTACAGACAGAGGAACAAGTGAGTGGTTTGCCTATGTGTTTGGCACCCTGATAAAACATTCCTTGTTGTACAAAGGCAATAGCTGAAAGCAACCTATATTTTACACATAAATATAATTCATTTTTACTGTATTTTTCAGTGCAGTCTTTATCTTACACTGTACAGGAAAAACACACCAGTGCCCAAGGGATCTGCAGCAGCTTCCAAGGAACAGCCCTGAACGCTGAAGGCTTCCACTTTGCTTACAGGAGTTATAGGAACGTTTGGCCTCCAGCTTCTGGGCTTCAGCTCAGCCTGGGTAGCTAACCCCGAGGACAAAATAAAATACATAAAAGATTATTGAAATGGTTCCTTCGGAGCGTGGTGATCCATGCCAGGCTGGAGCTCCGCGGGCTCCCCTCGCTGGCAGGGAAATCAACGATAGGGGAAGGGAACCCGTTGCTTCATGGGAGAACTTTTGTTTGCAATTTACGGCAAAACCGCGCGGCGCCCTACGCGGCCGGGCCCTCTGCTTGTCCCCGTTAGCCTGGGCAGCGAGGCCGGGAGCGGCAGCGGCCGCAGGGCC